TCACTAGCGGTAGATCTTCACGAAGTAGGCGATATCCTTGCCCTTACAAACTCCTTGGTTCAACTCCACAATCTTGTCGGAGGCTCCCAAGTGACACCTAGCCAATCTAGGAGACACCACTCTCCAAAAGGTAACAAATGGTGCGTTGATGATGAACTCCTTGATTTTGTGTTTCAAATGATAGTCTCCCCAACACTCAACTCTCTCTCATAGGATTTGGATCTGGTGGAAAGAGGATTTGAGTGGAAAGCAACTTGGGAAAAGCTAGAGATCAAGATTCATATGGTAGGAATGGAATATCTTGGCCTCAACACATGAGTAGGTAGTTCTCTCTCAGAAATGGTAAGTTGGAAGTGTAGGTTTATTCTGATGGCTCTCTCCACGAATGAAGAGGAGGTGGAGGGGTATATATAGCCTCCACACAAAATTTAACTGTTACACACAATTTACCAATCTCGGTGGGACCGAATCAACAAACTCGGTCGGACCGATTCAGTAAACCTAGTGACCGTTAGTGATTTCGGTGGGACCGACATGCAACTCGGTGGGACCGATATGGTTAGGGTTAGGGCATAACATAATCTCGGTGAGACCGATTACACAAACTCGGTGAGACCGATTTTGGTAATTAGCTAACCAAAGAGTTGGTCAGGTAAACTCGGTGGGACCGATTCGCTCTTTTCGGTGAGACCGAAATGTTACGAAAGGGAAACAGAGAGTTTACATTGCAATCTCGGTGGGACCGATCGCTCACTTCGGTTAGACCGAAATGTTACGAAGGGAAACAGAGAGATTACAATCCCATCTCGGTGAGACCGAGATCCCTATCGGTGAGACCGATTTGCCTAGGGTTTGTGGCAGTGGCTATGACATTTGAACTCGGTGGCGCCGGATAGAAAGAATCGGTGGGACCGATTTTGACTTTAGGTTTAGGTCATATGTGGATATGAGAAAGTAGTTGAGGGTTTTTGGAGCATATCACTAAGCACTTGAAGCAAGAGGCTCATTAAGCAACACCTCATCCCTCCTTGATAGTATTGTCTTTTCCTATAGACTCAATGTGATCTTGGATCACTAAAATATAAAATATAGAGTCTTGAGCTTTTGAGCTTGAGCCAATCCTTTTGTCCTTAATATTTTGAGGGATCCACTTTCATCATCCATGCCATGCCATTCATTAAGCTTTCCTGAAATATTTGTCTTGGAATAGTATTAGCTCAATGAGCTATATGTTGATATGAATTACCAAAACCATCTAGGGATAGTTGCACTTTCAAAATGTCACAACGTAACTGGATGATTATAAATATGCTCTATAGGTGTCTCCGAAGGTGTTTGTTGAGTTGGCATAGATCGAGATTAGGATTTGTCACTCCGTGTTTCGGAGAGGTATCTCTGGGCCCTCTCAGTAATGCTCATCACTATAAGCCTTGCAAGCAATGTGACTAATGAGTTAGTTGCGGGATGAAGTATTACGGAACGAGTAAAAAGACTTTCCGGTAACGAGATTAAACTAGGTATGATGATACCAACGATCGAATCTTGGGCCAGTAACATACCGATGACAAAGGGAACAACGTATGTTGTTATGCGGTTTGACCGATAAAGATCTTCGTAGAATATGTAGGAGCCAATATGAGCATCCAGGTTCCGCTATTGGTTATTGACCAGAGATATGTCTCGATCATTTCTACATAGTTCTCAAACCCGTAGGGTCCGCACGCTTAACGTTCGATGACGATTCGTATTGTGAGTTATGTGTTTTGATGACCGAAGTTTGTTCGGAGTCCCGGATGAGATCATGGACGTGATGAGGAGTCTCGAAATGGTCGAGACATAAATATTGATATATTTGAAGGCTATATTCAGACATCAGAAAGGTTCCGAGTGATTCAGGTATTTTTCGGAGTACCGGGAGTTACGGGAATTCACCGGTAGAAGTAATGGGCCTTATTGGGCCATACGGGAAAGGAGGAGGCAGGCCAAAGGGGAGGTGCCCCCCCCATGGGTCCGAATTGGACTAGGGGAAGGGGGCGGCGCCTGCCTTGCCCTTTCCTACTCCCTCTCTCTTTCCCTCTTTCCTTCTCCCCTACTCCGAAAAGGAAAAGGATTCCTACTAGGACTTGGAAGTCCTAGTAGGACTCCATACTCTTGGCGCGCCCCCCTAGGGTCGGCCTCCTCCTCCTCTCCCTCCTTTATATATGGGGGCAGGGGGCACCCTAGAACACATAAGTTTCTCTTAACTGTGTGTAGTGCCCCCTCCACAGTTACACACCTCGATCATACCATCGTAGTGCTTAGGCGAAGCCCTGCACCGGTAACATCGTCATCACTATCGCCACACCGTCGTGCTGACGGAACTCACCCTCGTCCTCAACTGGATCAGGAGCACAAGGGACGTCATCGAGCTGAACGTGTGCTGAACGCGGAGGTGTCGTACGTTCGGTACTTGGCCGGTTGGATCGCGAAGAAGTTCGGCTACATCAACCGTGTTATTGAAACGCTTCCGCTTTCAATCTACGAGGGTAAGTGGACACACTCTCCCCTCTCGTTGCTATGCATCTCCTAGATAGATCTTGCGTGATCGTTGGATTTTTTTTTGAAATTACTGCGTTCCCCATCAGAATGTATAGTGAAAAGAAAAGCTCCACGGTTTGTGTTGGTGTTCATAACAAGTAGGCTTGTAGCCTACCTTGAGGGCCTAACCCTGGGTAAATCCTCTTTATGTTGGTTGCAAGTTTCATTGGTTAGATCATTGTGCCCCCACAATTCCATTTTCATAATTTCTTTTGCCCTAGTATTCCAAAAAATATCAAAAACATATAAATGAAGTTCCTAAAAATATTTGCAGTATTTGTAGTCGGTGTGAATGCATGTGTTGTCAACTAGGTGTACCTAATTGCTCTGTTCATTCCTGAAAAGAGAGCTGCAGCATGGAGACAAACGAAAGCAGAGGAAATGTTAGGCGGAAGTTCCTTGTTGTTAGTGATTTCTTTGGATATGCAAATATGATTTTAACCATGGTTAGTATATTTATAACTCACTGAATATTCAAGTGATGACTTGTACTTTACAATGATTTTGATTTCTTGCTGACTTGTACTTTGCAAATTGCAATGCTTTGATTTGTAGGTCAGTGCTTCTTGTAAAAGAAAAGATGCATTATTACAGAAGCATAATGAAAAGATTGTGTGACAATTAGAAAATGGGGAGATTCTTAAAGGAAGAGGCAAACATCAAGAGACAACTTTAGCAAGACCTGGTGACACGTGATGGGTATCTCACCATAGGACATTGGTTCGGCTTTATCAAATGTGGGATTCGGTGATTCAAGTGCTACATGCTATTTCTCATGATGGGAAGTATGCGGATGATAGAGGAAAAACATCAGGTTTGATGAAATGTATGGAGGTCTTTGAATTTGTTCTGATCTTACATTTGATGCTTAAAGTGCTTGGTTTGACTTGTCACAAGCATTGCAACAAAAGGATCAAAACATAGTAAGTGCAATGAACATGATTGTGTCTGTTAAAAGTTTATTGCAACAGCTAAGGGATGACGGATGGGAGGCACTTTTGGCGGCTGCCACTTCATTTTGTATTAAAAGGGAGATACCAATTCCTAGTATGGATGAGAATATACCAGCAAGGGGTTACCCAAGGAGTTCCTGCAAAATGGTTAGTTTCTTCCATCACTACAAAGTTGAAATATTCAATGAGGTTCTTGACAGAAACATAGCTGAGATGAATAACCGGTTCAGTGAAACTTCAACAAGGTTATTGATATGCATTGCTAGTCTAGATCCTAGAGACTCATTTAGCAGGTTTAATCATGAGAACTTACTTGAGCTTACATCTATGTACTCAGTCGAGTTCGATCCATAAGAACAATATCATTTGGATGGTCAGCTCAAGATATACATTGATATGATGAAAAGGTCTGATGTTTTTGAGTTGTGGCAGTCTCGCTAATCTTGCTCTCAAGTTGGTTGAAACTAAGGAACATTTACACTTTCCTTTGGTTTACCGGCTCATCACACTTTCTTTGACTTTGCTAGTAACGACGACATCTATTAAAAGAGTTTTCTCAACCATGAATATCATTAAGACAGATTTGAGAAATAAGATATCTGATGATTGGTTGAATGATATGATGATATGCTATGTAGAGCGAGATATATTTGCTGGAATTGATGACAAGAAGATCATAGAACATTTTCACAGCTTGAGAGACCGTAGAGGCCATCTATCAAACCCTCCGCGTATACTTACGACTTAGGGTAAATACTTTTGTTATCTCTTTCAAACTATTTGCTTACTTGTTTCAATACATGTATTGATATCAGCTTGTTCACCTGTTGTAGGTATCTATTAGTCATGGAGTTGGACATTTTGGGCCATGGAATGAATTATTCAAGCAGCGGGAGTCCAAGTTAGTAGTTATGTGTGACGTTTATGTTATATTTTGTGATTTTAGGTGGTTACAACCTAGTTTTCGAGAATCTTGAACTGTTCTGAATCATTGGTTATGTAAATTTTCGAGTGCATCTAGCTTCATATTTGAATTTTATGAGATTTGGTTCAGTGGACTTGCATTCGTCAATCAATTTTTTTATACCTTCAATGTTTCGCCTCGGCTAAGTTCAATTCCTGGATCCGCCACTGGGCGGAACCTGTCTGATAGCTGCGAAGCCGTCTCCAAAATTCGCTATATAAACTTGCCCACTAGTACTGGGCATAATTCGCTTTGCTCGTGTCAAACAATTTCTTTTACAAATTGGCGTACAGGAATTCCTGATGAATTTTACAGACATAATGCAGAAGCCATCGCATTGCCTTGCCAAACAAAGGATTTGAATTACTCGTTCATAGCCGGCCATGATCAGTTGTTCATGTCAGACCAGTATGTCACTCACATCGACAACATTCCTGGGGAATTCGATCATCTGCTCCTGCTAAAAACATTATAGACCTTTATTTCTGGGGCTGCCACCGGCGCCCTCAAGCCGGCGGCAGGGGGAGCGCGGCCACGGTCTTCTTCCAGGCGGGGCGGGCGGAGATGTCGTCCCACCACGCCTGCACGTGCGGCCTGGCCGCGACCAGCTCCGCCGCCCGGGGCGTCCGGCTCATGACGAACAGCTGCGCCATGTGGTTCACATCGGCGAGCGTGAACGCGTCGCCGGCGAGGTACCTGTTCCCGGCGGCGAGGTGCGCGTCGTAGACGTCGAGCACGTCGGCCACCTTGCGGGCGAGCCCGTCCACGACGGCCGGGTCGGGCGGCGCGCCGCCCGGCAGCCGGGGTCTGACGCGGAGCTCGTACACCAGGTCGGCCACGGCCGGGTAGAAGTGGTGCGACTCCACCTCCAGCCACACCTCCAGCTTCGCCGACGGCGTCGCCGGCAGCAGGTCCGTGCCCGAGGACCGGTACTTGGCCGCGATGTACCTACTTATGGCGCGAGACTCTGCACGCGATCCCCAAATCAGAGCAAATTCGTGCAGTTGATTAGCCGAAAATGTTGCCAACTAACTCCGGCGAGTCTGAAAATCTGGATTTTTTGGGGTGGGCGTACCGAAGAGGATGTCGTCGACGTCCTGGAACGCCGGGACCTGGCCCAAGGGCTGCACGGCGCATGGAAACGAGGTAAAAATTAGTGAACGATCGCATCGGCTGATGATCAGTAGCTGGGAAGTGCGTGGGCGGGCGTACGTACGTTGATGGCGAGGAAGTCGGGCGCCTTGGTGTCGTCGACGACGACGAGCTCGTAGTCGAGCCCCTTCTCGTTGAGTAGCGCCGCGATGCGCACCGAGTTGGACGACAGCTCGTACCCGTACAGCTTCCTTGTGCTCACCGCAGCCGCCGCCGCCGGCTCAGCCATGGCGCCTGACACGATGTGGCGACCGGCGATATCGACCGAAGACCGGAAGAGCTGCGCCGTCTGCGGATCGAGCGCGGTAGGTGGCTTGCAGAGCAGACACCGATCGCACCCCACCTAACGCTCAATCAACTGATTGGTTGGGTCTGCTCTGCTCTGCTCTGCAGGTGGCGCTAGTACTAGCAAGGAAGCAAGCGCACTTGGTTAATTGTTAATTCCTCAAAGTCGTCCCACGTAACGTGACAATCCATCCGCCCGGACAAATGTTATTTTCTTAACACAGTACAGAAGCTCATACATAAGTACATACACTCACTCCTATAAACACACACATGCACATCTGTCTCCTTCCACTGAACGCGCGTCAATGAAAGGCCTGAAATATATCCAGAAAAATGTGAATACTAATGCCAAGTCCAGTGCTTGAATCTTGACGGCTGGGGATACCGCTCCTCCTGAACAACCAACCACAGGTTGGTTCGCCATTCGGATACATGCTATGAGGGCGTGTGCATAGTTTGAAAAACCGGTGGTCCAACCGAAAAATCGAAACCGCCTATCCGTCGGGATTTTAAGCAACTAGATGGGTAAATATCAAATTAATTCGGTGGTTTTCTGCGAAAATCAGAATAAAATCAGGATTTAACCAACTATTAGTACTATATTAGGACAATGGTCGTTTGTTGCAACGAATATAAATATCCTAGCACATTAGCCTGTGATTTACCTGCCGATTGTATAAATAAATATTTATCAAATCATATAGTAAATTAAATTATAATTGATTCATCAGTTAAGTAAATTAAGGTGATTGATTATCGTACAGGAAAGGTGGACGAAGGGATGGTGGGACGAAAACAGACACATGAAACCTAATAGAGAAGATTAACTTAATACTAACTAACTAATTGTTTGTGAATTGCAATGGGTGCACATAGTGGCTCAACAATAATTATATCTGACACATGTTTTACACACATCATGTTCTAGATTTTGATAATATTCAATTTGATTTACATATGTGTAAGAAATGCAAGGAAAATTTTAATTTAGTTGATGATTTGGTAATATTTGACTTGATTTGGGTATTCTTTTATTTTTTGCGGGTGATTTGATTTGGTTATTCGTAAGTGAAGGAAAGAAGAATTTCGATTTAGTTGTGATTTTGGGAAAATTTATTTTGACTTGTTGAATTAATGCAGAAACTGATTTTGAAAAAGTATCAATTCGGTTAGATTATTTCAAGTTACTCTATTTATGTTGGTTTTAATTTTATGCAGCATCAATTGAGAGTATCAAAAAAATCAATAGAAAACCAAGACGAGAGGGGGTCATGGGAATGTAAAAACAAGGAGGGGGTGACGATCGTTACTCAATATTTTGTTATTTTATTATTAGAAACCAGCAAATGAACCGGTGAACAGACAGATGAAAACCTAAACCAGCAGGGTCATTGGTTTGTTTTTTTAAACCATGGGCGTGTTGTATGTCTCAGTTGAGGCCTCCGTTGGTATGTAAAAATCCTGTAGAAAATTCATAGGATAGGATTTTAAAAGAAAAGTTTCCTATGTAGCTGTTTGGTTTATAGGAATGGATACCTATTTCTTTGTAGAATAAGAACCAATCCTTCATATTTTAAAAACCAAAAAACATTTGCCTAGATTCAATAATTTTTTTCTATACTATGCATCACATGACATCTCTTTCCTATAAACCAAACAGCGGCCACAGGTGCGGCGGGAGGAGGTATGATCCTGCGGGATGACAGAGGCGAGATCATCTACAACGCATGTAGGGAACTACGTACATGCGACAACGCTTTAGAGGCGGAGCTAGCAGCGTGCAGAGAAGGCTTGGAGCTGGCCTTGCACCGATCTAACCTACCTATTCTGGTTGAGTTGGATAGCGCGGAGGCGGTGTCGATGATTACAGCGCGCGAGATGGATAGATCGTCACATCGTGCACTTATAGAGGAGATTCGTAGGTTGGCTGGAAACGATGCTAGGGAGATCTCTTTTACTCTTTGTAGCCGTCTGCAGAACGGGATTAGTCATGAGTTGGCCGCCTATGGCCGTAGAACTCTGCGCACAGCAGTCTGGCTTACTGCCGGGATGGACTTTGTTGTAAACCTGGCTCTCGCTGAGAAGCCTCCTTGAGTAATGAGAACTTCTTTTTCCCTGCAAAAAAAAGACATCTCTTTCCTTATAGAAATTGAGATGCATGTCATCTTATTTTTTATGATTTTCTTATTCGATGGTATTCATATCCTACGAACCAAATGAGGGGAACAAACCCCCGACTCTCCTCGTGGTCTGCACTCTGTACTCCATGGTCCATCCACGCACACGCTCGTCATGCCACGCGCCCGATCGCATGAGATGGCCAGATCGGGGTCCTGCCTGGTGCCCTTGGCCATGTGTGCGCTCTGAACGTGGGTGGTTGGCAGCCCTGTCGTCGCCCTCAATCTGTTCGACAGCTGCGACGCCATTGCCCAGCTCCCGCTACAGCAAACACTCGGTACTGTACGGCACGGTGTGGTAGACAGAGGCGCGTAATCATTTTTTTACTGTAGATCTCGCGCCACCGAATGTGCTGACAAAGAATTAAGGGCCGGACACCAACAAAGTTCAAGCCAAAAACTGGATAAATAGATGCGCCATAAACATTCAACACCAAGATTCAACATTCAACAACAGCAGCAGCACCAAGAATTCGAAGCTTCTTCTCTAAAAAGTAGTTTATTCCATCATCGCGATTTTATTCCATTCTCGCCGCAGCTAGGCAAGCAACCACCTCAGAGGCTCAGACGCCGGGCGGGAGGGGGATGGAGGCGACGGTCTTGGCCCAGGCGGGGCGGGCGGAGATCTCCTCCCACCAGGCCTTGACGTGCGGGCGGGAGGCCACCAGGTCCGCCTTGGGGGACTTGGTGAGCATGAAGAGGTAGGACATGTGGTTGGCGTCGGCGAGCGTGAAGGCGTCCCCGGCGAGGTACTTGTTCCCGGCGGCGAGGTGGGCCTCGTAGACGTCGAGCAGCTTGGCGAGGTCGGCGGCGTTCTTGTCCACCTCGGCCGCGTCGGTGGGGGCGCCCAGCATGGGCTTGATGAGCAGCTCGTACACCAGCGTCCGCGCCGGCGGGTAGAAGTGGTGCGACTCCACCTCCAGCCACGCCTCCAGCTTGGCCGACGGCGTCGGCAGCAGGGCCGCCCCGTACTTGGTCGCGATGTACCGGTTGATGGCGCGCGACTCTGCAACCAAATTCGTTGATGATTTGGGGGGTTAAGCTCGAGCTCTGCTCCAGGCAAAACAAGAACAGAAATTTCTCGAGCTCTGCTGGACTAGTTAATTGCTAGTAGATCTGCTCCTGAGATTCTTGCTTGCTTTGTTATTGACCAAATCCTCAAGCTCTATTTTTTAATCTCAGGCAAATTACAAGTACGTATATTCTACTCCTACCTTTTTAGAGGAAAATTGTAAGTAGATCCTAGTCGACGTTTGGATAGATTGGCGGAGGATAAAATAAAATTAGAAGAGAATAACAAGATACTGTTACAGAGAGCCGAGTGTGGTATGTTACTCGGAGTGAGTAAATCCTGCTGAGAGAGACTGGGGTGCATCTACTAACAGATCTGAATAATTCTCTAAGAAGGAGCGGCAGGATCGTTACCGAAGACAACTTCCTCCCCGTCCTGCAGCGCGGGGATCTGGCCAAAAGGCTGCAAACAAGCAACCAGAGGAGAAATAAAATTAGCGCCTGGATCTTGGCGAAGAAGTACTACTGATCAACGACGAAGCAGGGGAGAGGGAGGGAGCGTACGTTGATCTTGAGGAAGTCGGGCTGCTTGTGGGCGCCGGTGCGGAGGTCGACGTCGACGAAGTCGAAGTCGAGGCCGAGCTCGTTGAGCAGCGTGGCCACGCGGGTCACGTTGGGCGACAGCATCATCCCGTACAGCTTGATGGGCGCCATCTCCACCTCCCTTCCTTCCTTCCTTCCTGCTGCCTGCTCGCTCGCTCGACTTGCTTCTACTGACCCCTATCCGCTCTCTCTGCCTCTCGATATATATCGAGCTACGGAGCGGTGGTGAAGGCGTCAAGCCACGAGGTTTCACACCGAGCGCGACTGACCTATGGGGCCCGAGTGAGAGTGATGGCCATCGATAATATCGGCCAGCCGTAGGCGACCAGCTGTCGCTCGCGCGGTACATCGCGGCTGCATCTACGTGGTGGGGGTAGCCGGGTAGGAATCGGGTCCTAGTGAGGTTCCGGAGATCGCAATCGATGATTGTAAAGATTTGGTAATTGAGTAATACTACTACTACAAAAAAAAAAAAAACTTGGCTTGCGGGCACATGTGACGTGCCTACCGAACTTGCAAGTTCAGAGGGTGTACCAGGTCACTTCCGGGCGATAGAATAAATACGGCATCTCTTTTTTTTTTGCGGGTAAAATAAATACGGCATCTCAAAAAACCGCAATACAATCCCTATCGCGTATTAACTATAGAATCAAATTAATAAACAATCATATCGCGTATTAATCAATAGAATAGATTATACGGGATACACCTGACAAAAATCCTGATACAATCCTAATCATGATTGGCCGATAAATATGGTAGGCGATAAGTATGAAAAGGAATAACAAAATATTTAGGTTCTCCTCTACCCTTTCGGGAAATAAAATAATAAGAGTAAAATTTAGGGAAATGATGCATCGTGAGCGATCAGAAAACTCCGCTCATCCCAGCGAACACCCTTCTGGCAGTCAGATGAAGAACATGGATCTTGAAGCACGGGAGGTTTGCCACGTCAGGCATAGCCACCCGTTTGCGTGGAGCAAGCCCTCACACAAACAATTTCATTGTACGAAAGGGTATCCATCCATCTCCATCGCCTCTCCATAACTCCCCGCCACTCTCTCGCCCTCTCCCTACATGTGGATTTAGATCATTTGCCGAACCGCCAAACAACACAACTGCGACACATTGAGCAGAATGACCCATACGA